TCACGGTGGCTATGAGATGTTAACTACCTCGCCTGGTATACAGGAGGTCTGTGTCTCTCTCTCATCATCATCACGGTGGCTATGAGATGTTAACTACCTCGCCTAGACTACAGGAGGTCTGTGTCTCTCTCATCATCATCACGGTGGCTATGAGATGTTAACTACCTCGCCTGGTATACAGGAGGTCTGTGTCTCTCTCTCTCATCATCATCACGGTGGCTATGAGATGTTAACTACCTCGCCTGGTATACAGGAGGTCTGTGTCTCTCTCATCATCATCACGGTGGCTATGAGATGTTAACTACCTCGCCTGGTCTACAGGAGGTCTGTGTCTCTCTCATCATCATCATCACAGTGGCTATGAGATGTTAACTACCTCGCCTGGTCTACAGGTCTGTCTCTCATCATCATCACGGTGGCTATGAGATGTTGACTACCTCGCCTGGTCTACAGGAGGTCTGTGTCTCTCTCATCATCATCACGGTGGCTGAGATGTTAACTACCTCGCCTGGTCTACAGGAGGTCTGTGTCTCTCTCTCATCATCATCACGGTGGCTATGAGATGTTAACTACCTCGCCTGGTATACAGGAGGTCTGTGTCTCTCTCATCATCATCATCACGGTGGCTATGAGATGTTAACTACCTCGCCTGGTATACAGGAGGTCTGTGTCTCTCTCTCTCCGTGGTGATCAATGCGTGGATTGTCCTCCGGGTTTTCCCCTCCACATTAATGAATCAACGTCCACACGCGCTCAAGAGTTTGACTGCTGCTATACATTCCCACGTGGTGGGGCCTTACAGCTGCTAACATAAAACAATATATTGTTTAGTTTTAATATTATAAAACAATATTTATTTACACATCCCCCATCAGCCGCAGTCCCTTATGCGAGTGCACAATATTTTTCACGGATGTCCGGTAGGCATCGGTGAAATAATGGCTAAATACAGCCCTGGGACCGGTTTACACATTCAGCATCTCATCGGAAGCAATCAGGCACGATTAATTTAATGAACTGCCCAGATGTTTAATCTACGGGTCTCTGTGTGAGTCTATGGGTATCCGTGAGAGTCTATGGGTCTCTGTGTGAGCCTATGGGTCTCTATGTGATGAGTCTATGGGTCTCTGTGTGATGAGTCTATGGGTCTCTGTGTGATGAGTCTATGGGTCTCTGTGTGATGAGTCTATGAGTAGCTGTGTGAGTCTATGGGTCTCTGTGTGCGTCTATGGGTATCCGTGAGAGTCTATGGGTCTCTGTGTGAGTCTATGGGTCTCTGTGTGATGAGTCTATGGGTCTCTGTGTGATGAGTCTATGGGTATCCGTGAGAGTCTATGGGTCTCTGTGTGAGTCTATGGGTCTCTGTGTGATGAGTCTATGGGTATCCGTGAGAGTATATGGGTCTCTGTGAGCCTATGGGTCTCTGTGTGAGTCTATGGGTCGCTGTGTGAGTCTATGGGTCTCTGTGTGATGAGTCTATGAGTATCTGTGTGATGAGTCTGAGTAGCTGTGTGAGTCTATCGGTCTCTGTGTGAGTCTATGAGTATCCGTGAGAGTATATGGGTCTCTGTGTGAGTCTATGGGTCTCTGTGTGATGAGTCTATGGGTCTCTGTGTGATGAGTCTATGAGTAGCTGTGTGAGTCTATGGGTCTCTGTGTGAGTCTATGGGTATCCGTGAGAGTCTATGGTTCTCTGTGTGAGCCTATGGTTCTCTGTGATGAGTTTATGAGTATCTGTGTGAGTCTATGGGTCTGTGTGTTGAGTCTATGGGTCTGTGTGGTGAGTCTATGGCTCTCTGTGTGGTGAGTCTGTGGGTCTCTGTGACGAGTCTATGGGTCTCTGTGTGATGAGTCTATGGTTCTCTGTGTGATGAGTCTATGGGTCTCTGTGTGATGAGTCTATGGGTCTCTGTGTGATGAGTCTATGGGTCTCTGTGTGATGAGTCTGTGGGTCTCTGTGTGGTGAGTCTGTGGGTCTCTGTGTGACGAGTCTATGGGTCTCTGTGTGATGAGTCTATGGGTCTCTGTGTGATGAGTCTATGGGTCTCTGTGATGAGTCTGTGGGTCTCTGTGTGATGAGTCTATGGGTCTCTGTGTGATGAATCTAAGTGTCTCTGTGTGACGAGTCTGTAAGTCTCTGTGTGATGAGTCTGTGGGTCTCTGTGTGTTGAGTCTGTGGGTCTCTGTGTGACGAATCTACGGCTCTCTGTGTGGTGAGTCTGTGGGTCTCTGTGTGATGAATCTAAGTGTCTCTGTGTGGTGAGTCTGTGGGTCTCTGTGTGATGAGTCTATGGGTCACTGTGTAATGAGTCTACGGCTCTCTGTGTGATGAGTCTATGGGTCTCTGTGTAATGAGTCTGTGGGTCTCTGTGTGATGAGTCTGTGGGTCTCTGTGTGATGAGTCTATGGGTCTCTGTGTGATGAGTCTATGGGTCTCTGTGTGACGAGTCTATGGCTCTCTGTGTGATGAGTCTATGGGTCTCTGTGTGATGAGTCTATGGGTCTCTGTGTGATGAGTCTGTGGGTCTCTGTGTGATGAGTCTGTGGGTCTCTGTGTGATGAGTCTGTGGGTCTCTGTGTGACGAGTCTACGGCTCTCTGTGTGATGAGTCTATGTGTCTCTGTGTGATGAGTCTATGGGTCTCTGTGTGGTGAATCTGTGTGTCTCTGTGTGATGAGTCTATGGCTCTCTGTGTGACGAGTCTGTGTGTCTCTGTGTGATGAGTCTGTGGGTCTCTGTGTGACGAGTCTATGGGTCTCTGTGTGGTGAATCTGTGCGTCTCTGTGTGACGAGTCTATGGGTCTCTGTGTGATGAGTCTATGGGTCTCTGTGTGACGAGTCTATGAGTCTCTGTGTGACGAGTCTATGAGTCTCTGTGTGACGAGTCTATGAGTCTCTGTGTGACGAGTCTATGGGTCTCTGTGTGATGAATCTGTGGGTCTCTGTGTGACGAGTCTACGGCTTTCTGTGTGATGAGTCTATGAGTCTCTGTGTGACGAGTCTATGGGTCTCTGTGTGATGAGTCTATGGGTCTCTGTGTGATGAGTCTGTGGGTCTCTGTGTGATGAGTCTATGGGTCTCTGTGTGATGAGTCTGTGGGTCTCTGTGTGACGAGTCTACGGCTCTCTGTGTGACGAGTCTGTGGGTCTCTGTGATGAGTCTATGGGTCTCTGCGTGATGAGTCTATGGGTCTGTGTGATGAGTCTATGGGTCTCTGCGTGATGAGTCTGTGGGTCTCTGTGTGATGAGTCTGTGGGTCTCTGTGTGACGAGTCTGTGGGTCTCTGCGTGATGAGTCTATGAGTCTCTGTGTGACGAGTCTGAGTCTCTGTGTGACGAGTCTATGAGTCTCTGTGTGACGAGTCTATGAGTCTCTGTGTGACGAGTCTATGAGTCTCTGTGTGATGAGTCTATGGGTCTCTGTGTGATGAGTCTATGGGTCTCTGTGTGACGAGTCTGTGAGTCTCTGTGTGACGAGTCTATGGGTCTCTGTGTGATGAGTCTGTGGGTCTCTGCGTGACGAGTCTGTGGGTCTCTGTGTGACGAGTCTATGGGTCTCTGTGTGGTGAGTCTACGGCTCTCTCCATGAGTCCGCGCGCCTCTCAAGCACCACTGCGTCCATTCCTCCTCCGACGTTGAAACTCAGAGTCCACGCGGCCGTGCGCGTGGCTGAAGTGGCAGAGATCCCAACGTAAATCCGTTTTATTCCGTACAAATCACGAGCAATCACGCACAGGACTTCTAAAAACACACAAACGGCGCAGCGTACAATCGCCGCACGTTTCAAAGACCCCGGCACGAGAGACACATTTCAAGTAATGACGATGATGACGACGATGCGTTATGATTACCACGGCGAATTCCTCACCCCAAGAGAGATTCTCACGGAGTCTCGAGATTAGTTTCCAGGAGGGGGTCCTGCCACGCGTTGCCAGTGGAGGGGGTGGCCATGCTGCTGCTGCTGCTGCTGTGAGGGTCTGGCCTAGGGGCACCCCCAGCGGCAGCTGTCACCTGTACATCAGTCTGTCGTAGGGGGTAGCGATGCTGCTGCTGCTGTGAGGGTCTGGCCTAGGGGCACCCCCAGTGGCAGTTGTCCCTGTGCATCAGTCTGTCAGTAGGGGGTAGCGATGATGCTGTGAGGGTCTGGGCTAGGGGCACCCCCAGTGGCAGCTGTCCCTGTGCATCAGTCTGTCAGTAGGGGGTAGCGATGATGCTGTGAGGGTCTGGGCTAGGGGCACCCCCAGTGACAGCTGTCCCTGTGCATCAGTCTGTCAGTAGGGGGTAGCCATGCTGCTGCTGCTGCTGTTGCTGTGAGATCCCAGTTGAGGGATTTGTTGCAGGGAATTGTTGAGCAGTGGGGGTGTGGATGTGGCCGCTACCAGTTCCACTGTGGGTGTGGGTTTAGCTGTGGGAGGGGAGCGGAGAGCCTGGAGGGTTACCCATGCAGAGCAGGGGGAGATCACTCACTCACTCATACACTCACACTCACTCACACACACTTACTCACACTCACTCACACTCACTCACACACACTCACTCACACACACTCATATACACTCACACTCACTCACACTCACTCACACTCACTCATACACACTCTCACACTCACTCACTCACACACTCACTCACACACTCACACTCTTACACTCTCACTCACTCACACACACTCGCTCACACACACTGACACACACTGACACACTCACTCACGCACTCACTCACAGACACACTCACTCACACTCACTCACTCACACACACTGACACACAATGACACACACTCACACACACACAACAACAACAACCGCCATTCACCACTAAGTGGCAGTGACGTCACCACGACGCTTGTGCCAGGCCATGTGCACCTTGAGGCCACGTGAAGTGTCGAACGCCCGCTGGCAGGAGGTCACTTGGCAGACCCAGGTGCCACGGGTCGACTGACTGAGATGACTGGCTGATGCACCACCTGTGCCCCCTAACTGTGGCAACCTGCTGTGCTTCAGCCACCCGGCGCTCCGCTCGTTGTTGTGAGCGTCGCTCCTCCGCCCTCCGCTGTTGTTGGAGGGCGACTGCCTCCACACACACACACACACACTGACACACTCCCACTCTCACACGCGGATTGTCAACCGGGAAATGGGTGACCGGTAACCACGGCGAAGAGGGGACATCGATGATCACGTTGGCGAGGGACGGAGGAGGCGGAGGAGGCGGTGGAGGCGGTGGAGGCGGAGGAGGCGGAGGAGGCGGAGGAGGCGGTGGAGGCGGAGGAGGAGGCAGTGGAGGCGGAGGAGGAGGCGGAGGAGGCGGAGGAGGCGGTGGAGGCGGAGGAGGCGGAGGAGGCGGAGGAGGCGGTGGAGGAGTCACAGCTGGGCGTGGCCGCTGACGATGTCGCTGTGCAGGGCTGGCGTGAGCTCCACGTAGGCCCGCCGCCTCGCGTCCAGGAAGTACAAGCGGTCCGTGAGCGTGCGAGGGTCGTAGCCCTCACGGCGGAGCTCCGTCTTCAGCAGTTTGAAGGTGCCTGGGGGCGGGCGATAAGCGGCGACACGCCGTCAACTCTACACTACACACTACACTACTATACACCATACACTACTATACACTACACTATACACTACACTACTATACACTACTATACACTATACACTACACTATACACTACACTATACACTACACTATACACTACACTACTATACACTACACTACACTATACACTACACTACTATACACTACACTATACACTACACTACTATACACTACACTACACTATACACTACACTACTATACACTACACTATACACTACACTACTATACACTACTATACACTACACTACTATACACCATACACTACACTAATATAAACTATACACAACACTACTATACACTATACACTACACTACTATACACTACACTACTATACACTACACTATACACTACTATACACTACACTTTACACTACTATACACTACAATATACACTATACATACACTACACTACTATACACTACACTATATACTACACTACTATACACCATACACTACACTACTATACACTATACACTACACTACTATACTACTATACACTACACTACTATACACTATACACTACACTACTATACACTATACACTACACTATACACTACACTATACACTACTATACACTATACTACTATACACTCCACTATACACTACACTACTATACACTCCACTATACACTACACTATAAATTACACTATACACTGCAGACTACACCTTACAATACACTACGCTAAACACCACATTATACACTACACTATACACTACTATACACTACACTACACACTGCACTACACACTAACCTAATAGTAGAGAGTGGTAGTGAGTACTGTAGTGGTAGTGTGGTAGTGTAGTGGTAGTGTGGTAGTGTCTACTGTGGTGGTAGTGTGGTAGTGTCTACTGTAGTGGTAGTGTGGTAGTGTAGTGGTAGTGTGGTAGTGTCTACTGTGGTGGTAGTGTGGTAGTGTCTACTGTAGTGGTAGTGTGGTAGTGTAGAGGTAGTGTGGTAGTGTCTACTGTAGTGGTAGTGTGGTAGTGTCTACTGTAGTGGTAGTGTGGTAGTGTAGTGGTAGTGTGGTAGTGTCTACTGTAGTGGTAGTGTGGTAGTGTGGTGGTAGTGTGGTAGTGACTACTGTAGTGGTAGTGTGGTAGGGTGGTAGTGACTACTGTGGTGGTAGTGTGGTAGTGTGGTAGTGACTACTGTGGTGGTAGTGTGGTAGTGTCTACTGTAGTGGTAGTGTGGTAGTGTGGTAGTGTCTACTGTAGTGGTAGTGTAGTGGTAGTGTCTACTGTAGTGGTAGTGTGGTAGTGTGGTGATAGTGTGGTAGTGACTACTGTAGTGGTAGTGTGGTAGTGTCTACTGTAGTGGTAGTGTGGTAGTGTAGTAATAGTGTGGTAGTGTGGTAGTGTCTACTGTAGTGGTAGTGTGGTAGTGTGGTAGTGTCTACTGTAGTGGTAGTGTAGTGGTAGTGTCTACTGTAGTGGTAGTGTGGTAGTGTGGTGGTAGTGTGGTAGTGACTACTGTAGTGGTAGTGTGGTGGTAGTGTGGTAGTGACTACTGTAGTGGTAGTGTGGTAGTGACTACTGTGGTGGTAGTGTGGTAGTGTGGTAGTGACTACTGTGGTGGTAGTGTGGTAGTGTCTACTGTAGTGGTAGTGTGGTAGTGTCTACTGTAGTGGTAGTGTAGTGGTAGTGTCTACTGTAGTGGTAGTGTGGTAGTGTGGTGGTAGTGTGGTAGTGACTACTGTAGTGGTAGTGTGGTAGTGTCTACTGTAGTGGTAGTGTGGTAGTGTAGTAATAGTGTGGTAGTGTGGTAGTGTCTACTGTAGTGGTAGTGTGGTAGTGTCTACTGTAGTGGTAGTGTAGTGGTAGTGTCTACTGTAGTGGTAGTGTGGTAGTGTGGTGGTAGTGTGGTAGTGACTACTGTAGTGGTAGTGTGGTAGTGTAGTAGTGACTACTGTGGTGGTAGTGTGGTAGTGTGGTAGTGACTACTGTGGTGGCAGTGTGGTAGTGTCTACTGTAGTGGTAGTGTGGTAGTGTGGTAGTGTCTACTGTAGTGGTAGTGTGGTAGTGTCTACTGTAGTGGTAGTGTGGTAGTGGTAGTGTGGTAGTGTAGTGGTAGTGTGGTAGTGCCCACTGTAGTGGTAGTGTGGTAGTGGTAGTGTGGTAGTGTAGTGGTAGTGTGGTAGTGCCCACTGTAGTGGTAGTGTGGTGGTAGTGTGGTAGTGTCTACTGTAGTGTAGTGTGGTAGTGTCTACTGTAGTGGTAGTGTGGTAGTGTCCACTGTGGTGGTAGTGTGGTAGTGTAGTGGTAGTGTGGTAGTGTGGTGGTAGTGTGGTAGTGTCTACTGTAGTGGTAGTGTGGTAGTGTCTACTGTAGTGGAAGTGTGGTAGTGTCTACTGTGGTGGTAGTGTGGTAGTGTGGTGGTAGTGTGGTAGTGTCTACTGTAGTGGTAGTGTGGTAGTGTCTACTGTAGTGGTAGTGTGGTATTGTCTACTGTAGTGGTAGTGTGGTAGTGTAGTGGTAGTGTGGTAGTTTCTACTGTAGTGGTAGTGTGGTAGTGTCTACTGTAGTGGTAGTGTGGTAGTGTCTACTGTAGTGGTAGTGTGGTAGTGTGGTAGTGTCTACTGTGGTGGTAGTGTGGCAGTGTCTACTGTAGTGGTAGTGTCTACTGTGGTGGTAGTGTGGTAGTGTCTACTGTAGTGGTAGTGTGGTAGTGTAGTGGTAGTGTGGAAGTGTGGTAGTGTCTACTGTAGTGGTAGTGTGGTAGTGGTAGTGTGGTAGTGTCTACTATAGTGGTAGTGTGGTAGTGTGGTGGTAGTGTGGTAGTGTCTACTGTAGTGGTAGTGTGGTAGTGTCTACTGTAGTGGTAGTGTGGTAGTGTCTACTGTAGTGGTAGTGTGGTAGTGTCTACTGTAGTGGTAGTGTGGTAGTGTGGTGGTAGTGTGGTAGTGTCTACTGTAGTGGTAGTGTGGTAGTGTCTACTGTAGTGGTAGTGTGGTAGTGACTACTGTGGTGGTAGTGTGGTAGTGTCTACTGTAGTGGTAGTGTGGTAGTGACTACTGTGGTGGTAGTGACTACTGTGGTGGTAGTGTGGTAGTGTGGTGGTAGTGTGGTAGTGTGGTGGTAGTGTGGTAGTGTCTACTGTAGTGGTAGTGTGGTAGTGTCTACTGTAGTGGTAGTGTCTACTGTAGTGGTAGTGTGGTAGTGTCTACTGTAGGGGTAGTGTGGTAGTGTCTACTGTAGTGGTAGTGTGGTAGTGTCTACTGTAGTGGTAGTGTGGTGGTAGTGTGGTAGTGTCTACTGTAGTGGTAGTGTGGTAGTGTCTACTGTAGTGGTAGTGTCTACTGTAGTGGTAGTGTGGTAGTGTCTACTGTAGGGGTAGTGTGGTAGTGTCTACTGTAGTGGTAGTGTGGTAGTGTAGTGGTAGTGTGGTAGTGTCTACTGTAGTGGTAGTGTGCTAGTGACTACTGTAGTGGTAGTGTGGTAGTGTAGTGTGGTAGTGTCTACTGTAGTGGTAGTGTGGTAGTGTCTACTGTAGTGGTAGTGTGGTAGTGTGGTAGTGTCTACTGTAGTGGTAGTGTGGTAGTGTCTACTGTAGTGGTAGTGTCTACTGTAGTGGTAGTGTGGTAGTGTCTACTGTAGTGGTAGTGTTGTAGTGTGGTAGTGTCTACTGTAGTGGTAGTGTGGTAGTGTCTACTGTAGTGGTAGTGTGGTAGTGTCTACTGTAGTGGTAGTGTGGTAGTGTCTACTGTAGTCGTAGTGTGGTAGTGTCTACTGTAGTGGTAGTGTGGTAGTGACTACTGTGGTGGTAGTGTGGAAGTGTGGTGGTAGTGTGGTAGTGTGGTGGTAGTGTGGTAGTGTCTACTGTGGTGGTAGTGTGGTAGTGTCTACTGTAGTGGTAGTGGCTACTGTAGTGGTAGTGTGGTAGTGTCTACTGTAGGGGTAGTGTAGTAGTGTCTACTGTAGTGGTAGTGTGGTAGTGACTACTGTAGTGGTAGTGTGGTAGTGTAGTGGTAGTGTGGTAGTGTCTACTGTAGTGGTAGTGTGGTAGTGTCTACTGTAGTGGTAGTGTCTACTGTAGTGGTAGTGTGGTAGTGTCTACTGCAGTGGTAGTGTGGTAGTGTGGTGGTAGTGTGGTAGTGTCTACTGTGGTGGTAGTGTGGTAGTGTGGTGGTAGTGTGGTAGTGACTACTGTAGTGGTAGTGTGGTGGTAGTGTGGTAGTGTCTACTGTAGTGGTAGTGTGGTAGTGTCTACTGTAGTGGTAGTGTGGTAGTGTCTACTGTAGTGGTAGTGTGGTAGTGCCCACTGTAGTGGTAGTGTGGTAGTGTAGTGGTAGTGTGGTAGTGACTACTGTAGTGGTAGTGTGGTAGTGTCTACTGTGGTGGTAGTGTGGTAGTGTCTACTGTAGTGGTAGTGTGGTAGTGTCTACTGTAGTGGTAGTGTGGTAGTGACTACTGTGGTGGTAGTGTGGTAGTGTGGTAGTGTCTACTGTAGTGGTAGTGTCTACTGTAGTGGTAGTGTGGTAGTGTAGTGGTAGTGTGGTAGTGCCCACTGTAGTGGTAGTGTGGTAGTGTAGTGGTAGTGTGGTAGTGATTACTGTAGTGGTAGTGTGGTAGTGTCTACTGTAGGGGTAGTGTGGTAGTGTCTACTGTAGTGGTAGTGTGGTAGTGTCTACTGTAGGGGTAGTGTGGTAGTGTCTACTGTAGTGGTAGTCTGGTAGTGCCCACTGTAGTGGTAGTGTGGTAGTGTAGTGGTAGTGTGGTAGTGTCTACTGTAGTGGTAGTGTGGTAGTGTCTACTGTAGTGGTAGTGTGATAGTGACTACTGTAGTGGTAGTGTGGTAGTGTCTACTGTAGTGGTAGTGTGGTAGTGTCTACTGTAGTGGTAGTGTGGTAGTGCCCACTGTAGCGGTAGTGTAGTAGTGTAGTGATAGTGTGGTAGTGTGGTGGTAGTGTGGTAGTGTCTACTGTAGTGGTAGTGTGGTAGTGTAGTGGTATTGTGGTAGTGCCCACTGTAGTGGTAGTGTGGTAGTGTAGTGGTAGTGTGGTAGTGTATACTGTAGTGGTAGTGTGGTAGTGTAGTGGTAGTGTGGTAGTGTAGTGGTAGTGTGGTAGTGTCTACTGTAGTGGTAGTGTGGTAGTGTCTACTGTAGTGGTAGTGTGGTAGTGTCTACTGTGGTGGTAGTGTGGTAGTGTCTACTGTAGTGGTAGTGTGGTAGTGTAGTGGTAGTGTGGTAGTGTCTACTGTAGTGGTAGTGTGGTAGTGTCTACTTTAGTGGTAGTGTGGTAGTGTCTACTGTAGTGGTAGTGTGGTAGTGTCTACTGTAGTGGTAGTGTGGTAGTGTCTACTGTAGTGGTAGTGTGGTAGTGTGTACTGTAGTGGTAGTGTGGTAGTGTCTACTGTAGTGGTAGTGTGGTAGTGTCTACTGTAGTGGTAGTGTGGTAGTGTGGTAGTGGTAGTGTGGTAGTGTAGTGGTAGTGTGGTAGTGTAGTGGTAGTGTGGTAGTGTCTACTGTAGTGGTAGTGTGGTAGTGTCTACTGTAGTGGTAGTGTGGTAGTGTCTACTGTGGTGGTAGTGTGGTAGTGTCTACTGTAGTGGTAGTGTGGTAGTGTCTACTGTAGTGGTAGTGTGGTAGTGTCTACTGTAGTGGTAGTGTGGTAGTGTCTACTGTAGTGGTAGTGTGGTAGTGTCTACTGTGGTGGTAGTGTGGTGGTGTCTACTGTAGTGGTAGTGTGGTAGTGTCTACTGTAGTGGTAGTGTGGTAGTGTCTACTGTAGTGGTAGTGTGGTAGTGTCTACTGTAGTGGTAGTGTGGTAGTGTCTACTGTAGTGGTAGTGTGGTAGTGTCTACTGTAGTGGTAGTGTGGTAGTGTGGTGGTAGTGTGGTAGTGTCTACTGTGGTGGTAGTGTGATAGTGTGGTGGTAGTGTGGTAGTGTCTACTGTGGTGGTAGTGTGGTAGTGACTACTGTAGTGGTAGTGTGGTGGTAGTGTGGTAGTGTCTACTGTAGTGGTAGTGTGGTAGTGTCTACTGTAGTGGTAGTGTGGTAGTGACTACTGTGGTGGTAGTGTAGTGGTAGTGACTACAGTAGTGGTAGTGTGGTAGCGTAGTGGTAGTGTAGTGGTAGTGTGGTAGTGCCCACTGTAGTAGTAGTAGTAGTGACTACAGTAGTGGTAGTGTGGTAGCGCCTACTGGTGGTGGCGAGCCGTTCCAGGACCCGCAGGAAGAGTGGCCGGGCGTAAGGGGGCAGGACCCTCTCCAGCGCCGCGTACAACGCCACCACGTCCAGCGAGCCGGCGGGGTCCGCAATGGCGGCCATGCCGGCCTTGCCCTCCACGCCTGCACGGGGCGGGGGGTCATCGCCATCACCATCATCGCAATCATTGCAATCATCACCATCGCAATCATCGCCATCGCGATCATCGCAATCATCGCAATCATCACAATCATGGCCATCGCGATCATCGCCATCACAAGCATCGCAATCATCGCCATGGCAATCATCACCATCACAATCATCGCCATCACAATTATCGCCATCACCATCGTCGCAATCATCGCAATCATCGCAATCATCACCATCGCAATCATCACCATCACGACCATCGCAATCATCGCAATCATCACCATCACAATCATGGCCATCGCGATCATCGCCATCACAATCATCGCCATCACAATCATCGCCATGGCAATCATCACCATCACAATCATCACCATCACAATCATCGCCATCACCATCGTCGCAATCATCGCAACCATCGCAATCATCACCATCGCAATCATCGCCATCGCGACCATTGCAATCATCGCAATCATCACCATCACAATCATGGCCATCGCGATCATTGCCATCACAATCATCGCAATCATCGCCATGGCAATCATCACCATCACAATCATTGCCATCACAATCATCGCAATCATCGCCATGGCAATCATCACCATCACAATCATCGCCATGGCAATCATCACCATCATAATCATCACCACCGACTAACACAGTCTGAGGTGAGAGGACCGGTGTGGTGAGCGGTGTGGTGAGCGGCGTGGTGAGCGATGTGGTGAGCGGCGTGGTGAGCGGTGAGCGGTGTGGTGAGCGGTGTGGTGAGCGGCGTGGTGATCGGTGTGGTGAGCGGTGTGGTGAGCGGTGAGCGGTGTGGTGAGCGGTGAGCGGTGTGGTGAGCGGTGTGGTGAGCGGCGTGGTGAGCGGTGTGGTGAGCGGTGTGGTGAGCGGTGAGCGGTGTGGTGAGCGGTGAGGTGAGCGGGGTGGTGAGCGGCGTGGTGAGCGGCGTGGTGAGCGGTGTGGTGAGCGGTGAGCGGTGTGGTGAGCGGTGAGCGGTGTGGTGAGCGGTGAGCGGTGTGGTGAGCGGTGTGGTGA